TCCTGTTGCATCAGGAATCCGGAATAATTCCTGCTTTATCATGAATGGAATTCTTCTTAGTTAAGTCATGTACGACCTCTGATGCCGATTTGCCTCCAAGTGCACAGGGGGATGCGTTCCAGGAAAGCTGTCAACGGGACAACTCCTGTTGCATCAGGAATCCGGGACAGTTCCTGTTATACAGGGTTATTCAAAAGTCACGCACCACTGGACATAACTTTAAGTTCTAATTGTGATATCGACTGCAGTTTAAGACGTTTTTCCTCATATTGAGGGGGAAACTTTTAAATGTACTTTCCAGTGTTTGATCCCCCCGGGGGGTGGAAGGCGGGGGGCAACTCTAAAATTTTAAATGGCCACCTCCCTCCTAGCCAGTGGTGCGTGACTTTTGAATAACCCTGTATCAAGAATGGAATTCTTCTTGCGTTATCATGTTGGATCTGTGGTGCGGACTCGCTTCACTGTGCGCCGAGGGGGTGGAAACAATCCGAAGACATTAGCAAAACCGTCACAACCTCTATCGTCGTCCGTCCGCGTGCCAACTCATTTCCTTTTAAATTGAGTCGGTCTCATATTATCCGGTGTTAAAGTGACGAGGCGCGACGTGCGGAGCAAAAAAGCGGGGCGTGTAAGATGACATCGGTTTTTGACGGGAGCAACTCGCCGCGCCCCATCCCGCCGCCCCCCTCCCGGGACAAAAGCGCGCAAGTGCCCGCTCGGAGCCGCGCTCGCTTGCGCGGTTTTCGCACCCGCTCGTTTCCGCTAATCCCACGCAATCCAATAACGCTTCCCCGGTCGGGACCTCGCGTGTAATTTTTTATCTTTTTATTTACTCGTCTGTCGGCTCCCGCCGAGGAACCCGATTTTCTCACGAGTCGACGCGGGCGTCAATGAGTTTCGCTTTTGATTTATCGCGCCCTCGGGGCTGATTATCGAAATTGATAGACAAAGCGATAGACAAAGAAGACATGGAGCCTGGAGCGATCCTATTGGTTGAGACGGGTGCTTCTCATACACTTAGGGGGAAATGACGGAGTAACTTTCGGGCCCCTCGTGGGTTGCTGTTTATTAGTATGTTACTTATCTCCTTCGTCCAATCCGAACACCTGTTTTAACCAATAGGATAGCTTCTTCTTTCCGCTGAATTCCATGTCTATCACTTTGTCCATCACCATGTCGAGCTCGTGACTAAAATTTTCGTTGCTGGTTGCGTGGATTTCTGCGTAGAATGGGCTTCGACGGTTGATGAATCCAATAACTTCACTGTTTTAGACTTTAGAAAATCTTCGATCTCCGTTAGATTTGCAAATTTCTTGCAATCCTCTCGCTGGTCCTCAAATCTTCCCATGATTTCCTCTAAAAATCGCTTCAGAATTGACATGACGAGAGCTGGTTCAATGACGGTCAAATCCTGCATTAAGGCGCGTAAGGCGTGGAAATGTTCCTGGATTTTGGCTAAAAATTAAGGAATTTCATTGCGTTGTTTCAAATCTGGTAATTTGGCGAGTGCCGAGAAATGGGAGGCTGTTCATGGCTCGACGATGGCTGAGGCTGTGAGGGGAATTAGATTTCTCTAAATGTTACCACCCTCGCCAGAATCCCTCCTGGACCTTCATCTATTAAGTAATGTACTTCATGCACACATGTGAATTCCCTGATTACTTGATACATATCTTTGTTCGACAATTAATTTAGTACTTACTGTAGCGTCCTTGCCGTTCGCATATTTGTATCTACTCTCCTCCTCGTTTTGGCCTCTATTTTTGAGAGCAGAATGTCAAAAGTTTCCGGGTTTACCCGAAAAATCGTCCGGAAGCTGTCTGGGTCTTTCGGGCGCATTTCATCATGAGTAACTTTAACTATGCTGTGCTCGTCTCTCCACCACGGCCTTATCCACCATCGCGGCCTCCTCCGCGCTTTTAGAACTAAATAAGCGGATACCGTATAGCAAAAATTAAATTTATGTACGCAAAACATAAGTAAGTCACTTCCTCCTGAAGATGCTTATTCGACCACTGATAAGGCTCAACTGAAGCAAATGAAAATGTTGAAAGCTAGGATGTCGATAAGCACTCGAAGACAGAAATCTAGGTGTGAACTATACATCCAAGTCTTTATAAATTGTAACATAATATGCTAAGTACTGACCTTTGAAAGCATCCAGGTACCGCTCGAGACCGATTCTTTTCGTAAATTCTTCTGTTTCCCTATCCATTTTCACTTATCAAGAGTGGCGGCATACAAACTTGAAGGAACGAGATACAGCACAACAGATTCACTTCACACCGGCGGGAAATCACGATGAACAATCAAACAAACAGTACCAACACAAATTTCTATGTCACAGTACTTTCCGATGAGACATAAAGTGATGTGCCCTTATAGATACACTTCTTTATCGACAAAATTTGACACCAAGATATGTTGTATTGCAAAATAGTGTACTAGATCCGACGCTACAGTATAAATGATAAAATAGAGTAGAAAGAAAACACTAGTCTCACGTACCAATGAGCTTTCAGTTCCCTTTCATGGGGAAGCAGGGTCACACTGCAAGTTTACCGGTCGCGCGGTTTTCAAACGGGGGTCTGTCGTCGGCAATTGAGCCGTTTAGTTAAAAGGGCGTATGAGCGCCAAAAAATAATTTATTCAGAAGGCCATTGTAAGAGGTAAAGCAAACGTTCTGTAGTTTTGGTGCATACATTCCCTTGTGAAATAAAAATGCCAATAATTGGACACTATTAAGCAAAAGTAATGTGGGTGATTTTAACGCAATGTTTCAGCAAATTCTCTGACAGCATTCCAGCATTTTCTCTTTTCCGGAACAGAGATGTAAAATTTGAAATACAGTCTGAAATTTTTGGGACTTCAGTCATACACTCGGAAGGCTGTGAAAAACATAGAGACATTATAAATGGAATTTTGGAATTTTGATATTTTGAAAATAAATATCTGGGTTGCATATGCAGCCCCTGAAAATTGTATGAAATTTCATGTCAACAGTTTTCATTCTACATCTCTATTCTGAAATGATTAGAAGAAACACTCGGGTACTTGGGGGAAGGGGGTGTTTGAAACCATTGAAGAAAAGTATCCCCCCCCCCCTCTCCACGAAAATTTGAAAATATACCATGTCAGAGATAAATTGTGATATGGTTCTATCTATCACTGTTTCCAAAGTATTTCATGAGGGAAATTCCTCTCTTATTTTCGGCCCTTTAGTTCAAAAATACCTTATTTCGTTGAAATCCAAATTAGCTCTGCTTATTTTAACACACTGTAGATAAGGGCCTTGTTTTGGAGGCAAGAAATTAATGTTGAGCCCTGTTTGACAACTAAACATCTTCAGTGGACTTTGAATGTTTTGCTAGAGAAAGTAAAGTGCCTCCACAGGCTGAGCTTAAAACCATTTGTAACTTTTTGGTGGAAATGTGACTTGGTGAGTTTTTGTTAAGCAAAACCCATTTCTCATAAATACTAAATAACTTCAAGATTGTTCATCCCAGCAACACTGTGATGTCTTACTGAAATTACTGGAAGCACTAAGTTAGTAATCTTACCTAGCAACGAGAGGGTTCTAATGGCATTGGGGTAAGATGAAGTAACTAAGCCTTTCTATGCCTATCTAAGATAAATTTTGTGGTGGGGAATGACAAAAACTATGACTAGTTTCAAGCACTCTCCACAGGATCATTACCACTGAGCTATTGGGAGGATCCTACTATGAAATCCATTCTCTGTAATAATGGGAGACTATATTTTTCCAACCTTCATTCTTCTATTTGGATCGCTTTAAGCAGAAAGGAACCAAGCCACATTAGCTATTGCCATATTTTATTGGGCGATTTAATTTTTTACATTTAAACGGTTGTGCTGATTTTCGTGCAAACAGTGGATTTTCTCCATAGTACGAAGCAAATGCCCTAAAATTTTCAATAGAATCCGCACAAACGTTCTCTCGTAAAAAATTAAAGTGTCCAATTATCTTTGGCAATAGCTGATATGGCTTGGTTCCTTTCTGTTAAACGCGGACCATTTTGTCTACAGATTTTTAAGAAACTGGAAAGAGAAATCTGTGTGAGATAAGTTACAATAGTTTTGCATAATGAAACCTCTGGTTGGAAAAGGTCTACTGAGAATGATAGTGTAGATGGAAAACCAAATCCATAGATGGGAACAAGACTGCCAACATCCTTCCGTAAATTCAAACACAATCCTGTTTGTTCTACCAGAAAAATAACATCTAATGATACTTAAGAAATAGGTACATAAAGCAAAATAATGCAACGTATGTGTGAAATGAGCAGCATTGCCAGACTTTGACAAATAATTTGACAGCTACTTCACAGCCCATCAGAATCGTAGGTGATGCAACTAAGGACCGTCCATGTGCAAGTGCGTAAACACTTTTCCTTTAGGTAGCTATAAGGTGTCTTTGTGTTAACTCTAAGCAGTGCTATAATGCTATTCCAAAAACGAGTAAATAAACAGCGTACGATATGCATGATCTACAAGTTCAGAAAGAATACCTACTATCAAAATCTGAGAGAGAAGAAAAGTTCATAGCGAATGATAACTGGACAAAACTTTCAGGAGAAGATTTCTTGAAAGAATGAGAGGTAAAAAAACTCACCGGTTCCAAATGAACGACAGAAGAAAGAAATGCACATGCAAGCAGACAGAATTATCCTTTAGAAGCACACACTTGACACATGAAATAGTATATTTGCTCAATTTTTTTCTGTCTTTCCGAATTGTTTCCCTTAAGTTAACACGGGGTTAAACTAATGTTGAAATGTTTTCGCAAATTTTTAATTAGTTTTTCTTCTGATCGATTTTATTCTGATTACTGATTCCGATCGTTAACCGATTCGTTTCTAAATGCGCTGCCTTGAAAAACTAAATCAGTCAAATTGTAGGAAATGAGGTCTCTGAATCCTAACGACTACGACGTAAAATTTTTTTCGAATACTCCAGCCTAAAAACACAAAGAGGTTTTGTTTTTAGACACTTTTTATCTAATTTTATCAAGCGCACTGACCTTATTTACCCCCATTTTTTGCTTTACAGTGAATTTCCTCCTAATTTAATTTTTCATCACGTGTAAGACTTTCTGTTAATTAGAAGAACATTTGAAGCCATCATCAGCCTTCTTTTCATTCTCTCACCTATCGCTTTTCTGTGTACTGCCAACAGAATCATCTTGACAACAGGAATTGACCAAGTGTTTTGCACTGCTGCTATGATTATGCACCTTACTCGAGCTGACACAACAAATATGCTCCGGTTTTTCACCATCTGTTTTTGTTTTTACACCTGGACATTGTCAATTAATTTTTTAATATTTTAAGCGCAGCTCCAGTTCTTTGTACTGTACAACTTTGGCAGCACTTCTGTTTACTTGGTCATTTTTTTTGTCCAACGCAGCTGATTTTGTTTCACACCAATAGAGATTGATACATTTTCCTAGGTGAAAAAAGCGAAAAGCATATAAAAAAGAACAACGAATAGTTGAATGATGCTTATTCTTTCTATGGTAGTTTTTTCTCTCTTAGTCAGCTATACTTGCCAACTAACAATATGCTCAATCGCCTACATTTCTTGCGAAGAGTTTTGTAGCCTGCGCAGTGGAGTCCACGGAAGATCTCAGCGGAAAGTTCGGTCAAACCCCGAGCGGCAACTATTCGAACTCCAGAGTAGGTCAGATTGCATAACGCCTCAATTAAAGGCGCGCGGTTCGTTCACTGCGCCGACTCTAAGTTCTCGTCCAGCGATGATGGGAGTCTTGTGAAGATCGCTCTCTCGAGATACTGATTTCCAGAATCACAATTTATTGGAACCAGTTATCACCGCACTCTGACCTCTCCGATGTGAGCAGTGTACGAAGTAACCGTCATAATAAAGTAGAAAGTGTAAACTGGAAGTAAAAAAAATAGATCAAATCTAGTTTTTTTTATTGTAGATCAGTATCGGTGGCTGATATGCGACACCACGTATCTCAGTTGCGGTGTTTCAAAGTGTCCACGCCTATTTTTTTTCTCCTATTTTTTAAGAGGAGCAAGTCAACTTTACAGCTGAAAACTTTAGAAGAATATTCTACGTGCAGATAAGTACAAACAAGGAGGAAGTTCTCATTGAATAACGTTCACAAGTTTTCCAAGGAAAAAGTAAAGTACCAGTGGAAGTCTACAATGTCGCAAACGGAGGTATGTGGTCTCGTATTTCAGCCGTCGATAGGTATGTCGATAAACTATTCTAATTCTCCGTTCTATCATAGATCGATACACATAATCGATTCACAGAAAACGGATTGATATATTCGACAGATGGATGTGAAATATTCTCATTTTTGATCGTTCATTCCTTCTTTTCAATATACAGGGTGATCCAAAAGTCCCTTCCACCCCCTCTAACTTTTCACCTAATTGAAGTAAAGATTTGAAACTTGGGGGATATTCCTAGGTCAGAGGGAGCTACTTTTTGCCCCCCTAAAATTTTCAGGGGGGCCCCCCTTGGGGGGGCAACGGCCCCCACCTTTAAATTTTCAAATGGGAAGACCCCCTTTGTGATAGCTCGTTCGAAAGAGCATAAAAAAAGAAAACTTTTCGCGCAAACCCGAAGTCAATATCTCAAACCGTTTCAAAATGGCGGCCGGTTAAAGTTCAAAATGGCCGAAAATTCACACCGGTTATTTGTCGATGGATTTGCGCGAAAATCGGTATGTATGGGTATTTTGACACGAGAAAAACGAATTTGACGTTAGATTTTCAAAAAAACCGAAATTTCCAAAATGGCCGCCGGTTAAAGTTCAAAATGACCAAAAATTGATTTTTTTTATAAATCTAAGTTCAAATTTGTTTATCTTATGCCAAAATACTCTCAAATTCCAAGTTTTAGGCAAATCCATCAGCAAAAAACCGAGGTGACAATTTTCGGCCATTTTAAACTTTAACCGGTGGCCATTTTGGAAATTTTGGTTTTTTTGAAAATCTAACGTCAAATTCGTTTTTCTCGTGTCAAAATACCCCTACATACCGATTTTCGCGCAAATCCATCGACAAATAACCGGTGTGAATTTTCGGCCATTTTGAACTTTAACCGGCCGCCATTTTGAAACGGTTTGAGATATTGACTTCGGATTTGCGCGAAAAGTTTTCTTTTTTTATGCTCTTTCGAACGAGCTATCACAAAGGGGGTCTTCCCATTTGAAAATTTAAAGGTGGGGGCCGTTGCCCCCCCAAGGGGGGCCCCCCTGAAAATTTTAGGGGGGCCAAAAAGTAGCTCCCTTTGACCTAGGAATATCTCCCAAGTTTCAAATCTTTACTTCAATTAGGTAAAAAGTTAGAGGGGGTGGAAGGGAATTTTGGATCACCCTGTAAATCCGTTAAACGCGCCACTGTGGTCGGTCGCATGACTCTCCACCTCTCACGGCTGTGACTTGGAATGCAGGTTGAAAAATGAAAATTTCTTACGTTGGTTTTTTCTTCGTCATTTTCTCTCTCTCTTTTCCTTAAGAATGAAAGTTAAATTTTAAATCAGCAAAATCTCAGAAAAATCTTAGGGTTATGAGGAGCAGTGTACTTACTTAGGTACATCGCGGTTAAAATGAACAGTGCCGTGACGGTCAGCGTTGTCCTCATCGTTCTGAAACATCATTATCACGTAAAAGAGGGTATTGAAGTAAACTTATGAATTTAGAAAGTTCAGCGAAAGTTCGTCTAGTCGAACGACGCTTATGACAAAAATCCGATGAAGTCGAAATTTTCTTTTGTCACGGGATGCTCCCATAAGGAACAATGTTGAGAAAAAAGCGTTTTAGTCGAATCAGTGATTTTTCGTGCCGGGTGAAAAGCCGCAAATTTTTTTTCGAAAAATCGGGAAATTTTTGGGTTTTTACGAGACAAAACGCGGTGTAATACACCGGAACCATATTACAGCTGTGCAAGCCGAATTTACGGGATATCTAGAAACATACCGTCTACGTTCTAGGCTCAGAAGCCGAAAGTTCCGGGTGCAGCACCCGGAGCAGTCAAAGCTACGTGTCCAGCATATGGATCTTTCGGCCTCTAAGCCCGCAACGGACGGTATGCCCATATAGATTGTAACTTGTTTTTCAGTGCGGCTCGTTGTGGCTGTCTTAATGATGACAAAAACGCAATAAATCAGCTTGATTTTTCTCATTGCATTTTACGTTGCTCATTTCGTCGTGTTCCTCTTTTTTCTTTTTTTTCTTCCGTACAGGAAGCCAAGCAACTTTATTGTCTGATAATTGCTGTGATTTCATCAATAAATGATGTAATAACCCTCTTCAATTTCTCTAAATAAATTCGCTTGTAGTTTTCTATCAATTTAATGGTATCAACGAGCAGTGCAGTTATGCTGTTTTTTAATGAATTTAGTACCTAATTATATGATTCCGCTATCAAAATTCCTAATTCGTTCTAATTGAACTTAATTTCTTTACCGAATTGATGATAGAAATCACGTGGTTCCCAACTATTTCAAATGATTTCTCGGGTTCTTGAAAGAATGAGTTTTTTCCAAGGCTTTTTATTAACTCGAATATTCGTGTGAATTACATTATAATACGCGAGTAAGGAATAGGCGAAACAAAGCTATGATCGCGTTCAGCAAAAAGGAACTTGTCAAATTGGGCTTTTTAGTATCTTACATGAAAACGGTTCTCCGGATTTTTGTGCAAATTTCAGTGAATATTCTGCATAATTTGAAGCAAATTCCTTGAAAATTGCAAAGGACCGCGCACAAACGTTCTTTTATGAAATTGCACAGTTAAAATTGACAGTAGCTAATGTGCCTCGGTTCCCCTCTTCCAAACGCGGTCCAAAACACCTAAAAATCAGGACGTTTTGAGCCATATCTTATGCAGGTGTATTTTCAGCTGCAAAAAACACTTAAAATTATTTAAAATGAAACGTAACGCAGTCTTCATTATTCAACCACTCTTCATCACTCAAACCACTTCATATTTTGTTCGTTTTCATCATTTCTTGCAGCCGACAATGGGCCTTTGCGGCTGAACTTTTAGCCTTTTTTACTCATTTTTTACTTCCGTATTCTAGTGCTTTTCATTTTGTAGTTTTTTTGAGCTCTATCATATTCATAGGCTTATTGATTCCGGGAGGCACTTACGGTTCCTCTGAGAAAATAAACGGCATTTCAGTCGTCCTTTTGATGAAAAACGTCGGGTGAGCGTTGGCAGCACCATGCTGCAATTGTTGACCTTTGGCGATCCACGCAGCGATGTGGACGGTTAGGGACAGAAATTGGGCTACAAATCCCACGATCAGACAGATGAGACCGGTCACCAGCAGCGCGGAGCTGCACTGAGGAGTTAGAACCAGGATTAGTTTGTTGTCATTGATTTTGTCCAGTTAACAAGAGCCTCTGTTTCACTACCAACACTGGTGAAAAAAAACCTCTTGGTTCAAGAGTGCAGTTTCTTGTCGCCGGATTTAAGAGTCTGCACTCGTGTTTCAAGCGGATTTTGAATTGAATCAATGCAAAATCCGATCAATGCAATCAATGCATTGATTCAATTCAAAATTCGCCTGAGACAAGAGTTCACTGAAAAAAAAGTAGTTAGCGTTGAGAACTAATTTGGTTGGTTCTCGCCAAGTAGAATCAAAATTAGGCTTCAGAACTAATTTATTGTACTGAAGCACCAATCAATTCGCTTCATACGCTGACTTGACTTTACTAGAGCGCGAACCAGAATTGGAAAATAGCACTAGCTGTAAAATTAGCGCTGTGGTAAGACAAATTCACCTTCGGGTCAAACTAATTCGCCCTCAACACTAACTGCCACATTGTCCGTTACATTTATTTAGTTTCGAAAAAGTGGCGTCGGTAC